GCTAGAAGCAATGAGGCGCCGAGGGCCTGGGGAGGCACTAGGGAGGAGGGAGGAGGCTGCTGAGGCACCGTGTTTTAGGAGGTATTTGCACCTACTGAGAGTGGCTGTTTTTTAAAAAAATATGTTGGATTTCAGAGACAGGAAAGGAGAGGGAGAGAGAGAGAGAAACATCAATGATGAGAGAGTCATGGACCGGCTGCCTCCTGCACGCCCCGCACTGGGGATCGAGCCCGCAACCCGGGCATGCGCCCTGACCGGGAATCGAACCTCTATCTCCTGGATCCTAGGTCGATGCTCAACTGCTGAGGGAACGTTTTTAATTCATGGCAGTCCTCTCCGCTTAGAGAACTGTGGGCTCCTCAGCAGACCTGGGGCCTGCGCATGTCCAGGAGGCCAGGCAGGCCTGGGAGTGGATTCAGGCCTCTCCGACCTCCCAAGACTCCTCGGGGGCCCAGTGAAGCCTGTGGGAAGCTCAGAACACAAAAGAGTCAAAACGGGTCCAAAGGNACGCCGCCTGGGCTCTTCAGGAACAACCATGTACCGCGCCTGCTAGAAGCAATGAGGCGCCGAGGGCCTGGGGAGGCACTAGGGAGGAGGGAGGAGGCTGCTGAGGCACCGTGTTTTAGGAGGTATTTGCACCTACTGAGAGTGGCTGTTTTTTAAAAAAATATGTTGGATTTCAGAGACAGGAAAGGAGAGGGAGAGAGAGAGAGAAACATCAATGATGAGAGAGTCATGGACCGGCTGCCTCCTGCACGCCCTGCACTGGGGATCGAGCCCGCAACCCGGGCATGCGCCCTGACCGGGAATCGAACCTCTATCTCCTGGATCCTAGGTCGATGCTCAACTGCTGAGGGAACGTTTTTAATTCATGGCAGTCCTCTCCGCTTAGAGAACTGTGGGCTCCTCAGCAGACCTGGGGCCTGCGCATGTCCAGGAGGCCAGGCAGGCCTGGGAGTGGATTCAGGCCTCTCCGACCTCCCAAGACTCCTCGGGGGCCCAGTGAAGCCTGTGGGAAGCTCAGAACACAAAAGAGTCAAAACGGGCCCAAAGGTCCCTAGGAATCGAGCCTGCAACCCCAGGCGTGTGCCCTGACAGGGAATTAAACCAAGATCTCCCGGGTCCTAGGCCGGTGCTCAGCCGCTGAGCCACGCTGCCGGGTGAGTGAGTGGCTCCTTAAATTTGGTGCCTCAGCACCTCGCCCGCCTTCTAGTCCTGCCTCGGGCTGGCTGTGGCTCTTTCTGAATTCATTCCCTAACGGGAGTCTTTGTGCAGAGCCTCCTGCAGCTTAAAGCAGCCGCGTCATGCATCAGAGTGAAGTCTTCAGTCCATGCCTGCCTTGCTCACAGGTACGTCGCCTTGTATCTCGGCGGCACTCTTACCCCTACAGAAGCCCTAGCGGCCCTGCTCACGGCCCACCGGGAAGTGGTGTCACTCTTCTTTTCAACTAGGAAGTGAGTAAAGGTGCAAAGGGACCAATATTTTGCCACCCTGATGCTGCCTTTTAGGATATTGCCTTGAAGCTGGTTATTAAAAAACAAAAGATCAAGAACCTTTGACCTTCCCCCTTTCTACCTAATAGATTCAGATGGAAAGGCCACCTCCCTGAAGGGAAGATTAGGATATTGGTCTTAGTCTAATTTGAATTAAGTATGGTAACTGGAGGGCTTCAGGCAGGGGCCTGTTAGCTAGATACCCCTGTGTACCATTGTTTCTGGGTCTCCCAGCAAGAATTTGCCTGCCATGTGTGTTCTGCACCTCCTCAGCTACCTGTAAATCCCCCTCCTCACTTCAGAAACCTAAGACCCTGTTGCCTACCTGCCTTTTCTCCTTTGTCCAAAGTGTCATATGTACCCAGTGGTGCCTCACTGTCTTTGGAATTTTCATGCTTATGTGAATTCCCCATGTGCACATATTAAAATTTGATTTTTTTTCCTGTTAACTCTGCCTTAGCCCAGCTAGAAGAACTTAAAGGGTGGGAGGAAATGTATTATTTTTTTTAGCCCCCACAGAAGAAAAGTTGTGAATTTTTTTAGCCCCAACAGGTGAGTGGTCTGACAAAGGATTCTCGTAAATTACGTTAATTACTGGGAGAGTGTTACCAAGGAGATGACGAGACCTCAGTTCTTGTCCCCTTGAAGGAAGGATTTCAATCAAGAGACAAAGTGCCGCAAAGCAAGTAAGGATTTATTGGCCACAGCAAAAACATACTTAGGACAGTGACACAAGGAAGGCCGCAGAAGAAGCTACAGGCAAGCCTAGGCTGGGCTGCTCTGGCTCGCTGGGACGTCAGAGAAAAGGAGGCCTTGGAGACAGGTTCAGGGCTGTAGCCTGGGACCAGCTCCCTGCGTGTTGCTCCCCTGGTTGCAAGTTTCTTGGGGTCCTCTAGAGGGAAGAAGGGGAAGGGAATGACATGGGCAGGCTCCCCTGGGGGAGAGCTCCAGGTGGGTCCTTCATCCTGAGAGTATTTATCTCTTGCTTGCAGGTGGGAATCTTAGGAGAGGCCTTAGAGGAAGGTCTCCATAGAATATTCGTGAGCTTTCCAGGTGTGCTCTTTCAGGGTCCTGGTCTCCACTGATTGGTCAGCACCAGGGCAGGGGTCATTAGTCAAAGCAGCTGGTCCTGAGGCAGTGATGTTGCCACTTGTGTGGTTTTGCTGCTTTTCTGGGCCTGGAGCTAAAATACAGCTGAGGCCTAGATGTTATCTCTAGGGAGGAAAGGTCAGGGGCTCCAAATTACATAACCAGCGATATGCCAGGGGAGGAAAGGTCACCTGGGGGGAAAGGTTCTTGTTTTCCCAGTTTTGTCCTTTGCTAGACACCGAGGCTTTCTGTACGTGGTGACCGTCTGTACCTGGCCCATGGTCCTTGCTCTGCTCATGTCTGTCTAACTGCCTATAACAAGAGTATGTGTTCTCCCACCAAGCCACCCTGGATGGCATTGCCCATACCCTGCAGAACAAGGCAGTCCCCAGGCTGCACTGTGGGGCCTCTTTCCATTCTCTTAAGGGCAACCACGTTGACTTTGGTTCCATCCGCACTTTTCCTGACCCCCAAGACTTGATCTTGGCCTGGTTTTGTGCCTTTGAGGGGGGGGCAACCTTTCCTAATCATACGCTTACTGGAAAGGGGCCCTGGCCCTGAGCCAGTCTGCCTAGGGCAGTTGGTATTGGGTGGGTGGGTTCTTGACTTCATGCAGGAAAAATTTCATAACATGAGTCCAGGTGAATTTTAGAGGGTGTTTATGAAAGCTGGGGACTGAAACAAGAAAGAGCTGGGAAATGAGCCTAGGCTGGGCTGCTTTGGCTCACTAAGAAGTCAGAGAAAAGGGGGCCTTGGGGACAGGCTCAGGGGTTTGCCTGGAACGAACTGCCGCTGCCCACTGCTGCTCCTGGTTGTAAGCCGCGTGGAGTCCCTTAGAGTTTAGGGGATGCACGCCTGTGGGGGAAAGAAGGCGGGGGGGCGGCACAGGCATGCTTCTGGGAAGGAAAACAGTGCTGACACCTTTGTCTAGGCTTTAGCAGGCCTCTTAGGGCAAGTCTCAGGGGAACATTTCAGCAGAATATTTTTTAAATATATTTTTATTGATTTTTTAGAGGAAGAGGGAGAGAGAAACATGGATGAGAGAGAAAGAATGATTGGCTGCCTCCTGCACGCCCCCTACTGGGGACCAAACAAGAAACCCGAACATGTGCCTTGACCAGAAACTGCACTGGGAACCTCTTGGTATCTGGGTTAATGCTTAACCACTGAGCCACACAAGCAGGGCTCAGCAAAATATTTATCAGTTTTCAAGGTGTGCTCCAGTTCGTGGTCTCCACTGATTGATTAGTGCTAGGGCGGGGAGTTGTTAGTCATTGCAGCTGGTCTGGAGTCCCTCACCTGGTTTTGCTGCTTTTCAGGGTCTGGGGCAGGCAATACAACTGAGGCCTCGATGTTATTTCTAGGGAGGTGACCTATATCTGCTGTAAGGTGCTCTGTCAGTTTGTTCAGCTGTCTGTCTCAGTTTCCCCAGTCCACTTGTCCTGGCTTACTGGTCTGTGTCAACCAGAGTCTTTGGGGTGGGGGCAGGGGGTGTCTTGTCTGGGACTCTGCGCTGAGCTAAGGAGAATGGAGACAGAATATGCCCTTTCTAAAGAGAAATGTTACTCCCCATCAGAGTCCCCACAGGGAAGGCCACTCTTGGGTCCGCTTGACCTGTCCCCACTTTCCACCCATTTCCACCCCAGAGAAATCAGATGTGCCAGGGAGGCTTGAGTGTACAAGCAGAAATGGGAGAGGGGGAACATGATGTGGGGCTGCAGGGGTGGGGGAGACTGGGAAGCTGCCATTAACAGAAACATGCTTAAGAATCCCTGCTGATGCTGGAAGGATCCCAGTGAGCCTCCAGCAGGGAGACCCCCTCCAATTATTGTCAGTGCCTCTGTTCAGAAACCAGGGGTTAAGGGACCCTCTAGGTTCAAGGCTAGTTCAGCTTTGGACGACTCAAGGCTTTTAGAGCAGTGGTTCTCAAAGGGTGCAGGAGAACGCCAGGATGACCTGATAAAACAGGTTGTGCCTGGCACGTGCGGCTCGCTTGGTTCAGCATCCTCCCACGCAGCCGAAGGTCACCCTTGGACTCCGGGTCAGCGCACAAACCCAGGTTTCAGTTCAGTCCCCAGTCGGGGTGCATGGGAGGCAACCCATCCAAGTTGTTCTCTCTCTCTCTCCTCCCCCACCCCTTCTTCTCTCTTTCTCTTAAAAAAAAAAAAAATCAATACAAACATTTAAAAAAAACAAAAACAAAACCCAGGTTGCTGAGCCCAGCACAGGAGCTTGTGCACTTGGGGGGCCCCGGGAGGCTGCAGCTCAGCGCCGGGCGGGGGAGGTTAGGTTTCATTTCCAGCTCTCTGGCCTCTCAGGCCCTTCCCGGAGGAGTTTTGGTTCCCGGGCCTGGGCGGGGCGAGCAGCCGGGGGCGGAGCGCGCGGGGCATAAAGCGGGGCTGTGACGGCGACGGGGCAGTTGCCGCACCGTCGCTCCGAGGGGCAGGTGAGTGTCTCCCTCCCGGGGCGCGCGCAGCCTCCAGCCAGCCCAGGGCTCCAAGGGGCGTTTGGGCGGCTGGCAGCACAGACAAGCTCCCCAGGGTGTGGGCACTGGGCGGGGGCTGGTCATAATAAAAACAATCATAACGCTGAGGGTGTTGGCTGCGCCCAGGGCGCGCTTGATTGGCCTTCAGACCTGCCGGCTCCTGAGGCAGCTGGGTGACCGATCCAAAACAGCCCTGCAACCGGGGGCTTTCCTGCAAAAACCTTACACAGTATAGTTTCTCTTTCTTGCCTTGGCATACTTAGGCTGGGTTGAGGTGGCTGGCAGGAGAGAGACTCCTGGAGGGCAGGGACTCCTTGATTCAGGGATTCAGAATTCACTGAGTACCTTTCCTGTGCCGGGCACTATGCTGTTGTGACCCGACACTGCTGAAGAAAAAGACACAAAACTCAGAAATGATATCTAAAATCACGGTTGCTGAGACTTCAGGGGGGCGAGAGAGACATGAAGTCCTCTGGGCAGTTGGATCTGTGCAGAGGTAAGTGTCCTGTCCTCAGATGGAAGGAAGGGCAGCCATGAGAGGGATACAAGATGAACACCACCAAACCGTTAAAATGCGAACCGTGTTGGAGGCACACAGTAACTCTGACCCCCAGTGGCTGGTGTTCTCTTTTACCGATTGGGAGCTTTTTCAATTGTAATACCTTCTGGCACCTCCAAAGCCACAAGTCAAAGTAGTTGTCATTCCTGAACTGAATATGTGTCCATAGAGGACCTTAGCACCCAGCTAGACAAGGCATGCAGAGCCAGAGAGTATCCTGACCAGGAACGAAGCAAGAAGGGGGTATATTTATAAATACATGTCCAGGAACCCCCGAGCACAAGTCTTTCCAAAGGCATGAAGTGAGGGAATAAATTTACAGATTGCAAGATGCCATAGCGCTCTTTAAAACTGATCCCTTCCTGCATCAACTTTCTCCCTCTTTCCCATAAAAGGCATGTATCCCTGTCTTTTTTAACCTTCCCTTGCAACTGCACCAATATTGCAAAAGATTGCATAGCTCTTGGGGGAGGGTCCCATGCAAAGAGTAACAGAGAGCATCAGAAAAAAACAATTGATTCTGTGCCGTATCCATCTGTCTTAGAATTAAAATATTCAAGATTTGCAAAAAAGGATCCCAGGAACCATGAATTGGCTTCAGAGTGGCCCCCTTTTCTCCCCTCTGCATTTGCATCCAGATCATCACCTGGATGATCTCATTTATTTGCCCAGGTTTTGGTCTAATTGGTATGTTTTGCATGATTTCAAGGAGGTGGAGGAGAAGAGCTTTGCATTTCTGTCCAACTCGTCAACTTTACGTCCTTAAGGCAAAGGAAGGTACGTTGGAGGTAAATAGGTGCTTTATATTTTTTATAGCATTTATTTTAAATCAAAGGAGAAATATTTTTATTTACTTTTATCCACGATTATTAGATGTGTTAAATTTAATATTTAGAGACTTGTGGTCCCAGAAAAATATTCAAATGAATTTCAAATATATGCATATATTTTTTGGGGGGTGCAGTGGGAGTATGATAAACTGGTCAATGAAATGCTTTCAGAAATAAAATGAATAGCATTAAGATACACTTACGTGGGAGAATGGAACGAAAATATGAAATCAAGGATCAAAAGGGACAGAATAAATGACTTGGAGTTCATATGTTTTTTAAACTATAGGTTTGGATATCAAATTACCATCATTAGATTCCTTCAGCTTCGTTAGGATGAGTTCTATTACTTTGTTTTTAAATGTAAATTTAAAAAATACATCATAAATTTTATTCTTTGCTGCTATCTAAATTTATGGTGAAAAAATTTTGGGTGGTCAACCTAAAATTGTGACAGGAAATATCTAATTTTATAAAATCTTTTGGGGTCAGGAAGCGTGTTCGTGAAGAACACTGAGCTGGGGCACAGCCTTTGTCTTCATCTGACATTTGCTTCCTTGGAGTCCTCCTGCCATTTCTTTTTCAGTCAGTACAGAGTGGTGGGCTTAGTTCCATGATTGCATGTGCCCGGCTTCTGACTTGTGTTCACTCTGATCTGCTGGATTTTAAGCTGAACTGATACAGGAAGAAGATAATTCACTCTAAAATGGAAATCGCAAATCCTGATTCATCCAGTGGCCAGTTGCCAAATGGAAATGATGTTACGCCAGAGGAAAATCTGGAAACAGTAAGTTGCTGCCTGATTTTCATCACTATCAGTGTGGGTGTGAGCCGTGTACATTTCAGGGCTGCCCTGGTGCATGGCGATGCCACTGTGGCTGGAGAGGCCTGCTCCCTCACCTCTCCTGAAGATGTGGATCCTATGGCTTGGGCCATTCTTGCAACCAAATGTAAGACTTTTTGCCTTAGCTGATGCTAGCTGCAGTGCAATTTTGGCCTGGGAAACCAGGCAAGATGCTGGTTGGCTCATGCAGGAATTGGCCTGGGCCCTGAACCCTAGGAGCCCTGCATTACCAGATGCCCGTATCATGGTTCAGCCTCAAGCTGCAACGCTCTGCGGTGTCGTCGTGACACGCCCTCACAGGGTAGCCATGTGCTGTCTTTTCCCCCAGAATCGCAACGTGTTTTTGTTGGGAACCACACTTGGCTTCTTGAATCAGTTGGGCCTAAATTTGATCCCAACACTAACACTTTCAATGGCCTGATCTCAGGGTTATTCCTCCCTTTATAAGCCTGGTTTTCCATCTTTTGGGGGGGGAAATAATAGTATTGACTTTATGTGGCTGTTGAGAGGAGTGAATGCAGGTAGTTTGGGCGCTTAGAAAGACCTCTTGCTATTACATGTTTTAAAGCCATGGTTCACCAGCTTCTTTCAAGTTGACTCCCTTTTCGTGATCAATGTTATCAGTATTTTAAACAATATTAAAAACTACGTTGGAGGACATAAAAAAACAGAGGTCCACCCATCTTTCCAACTCCCTAATATAACTGTCTCTGGCCTGGCTGTAACTGGTAGTGTATGGGGCAGTAAGAATTCACACAGCTCACACCCACGTGCTTGGGAGAACCTTGGCCTTTTCCAGGCAAGTTGAACAGATGATGTTTGAAATGCAAATGAGAAATGCACCCACACACGCTCCCCCCCCAGACCTAGAGAACAAAAAACTCCAGGAGTGGGGCCTTTAACATTCTAACTTCGCGCTAAAGCTTGAGAACCACAAACTCTCGCCCATGCCCCCGGGAGCCATGCTTCTAACAGAATAGTTTATAAGAGCAAAACCCACAACCAACACAGGTGCCCGCAGGTGATGGAACGCACGCGGAGACTGCGGTACTCTTATGCAGCAGAATTCTATGTAGCGGCGAAAAGGAATGAACTAGGATTCCCGGCATCCGGGGGGCTGAGTCTAAAACACCGGTGAACCGAAGATTCAGGTCGGAGAAGAAACTTACAGTGTGATCCCATTTATGTAAAGTTCCAGAACAAGCAACAATGAGCAATGTACTATTTAGGGAAAGTTGGAGAGGTGGTACCACTGTGAAGAAGAGCGGATATGTGGTTATCACAAGCCTCAGGCTGGAAGGACCCTCTGAGGGGTGCAGGGGTAATAGGAGAAAGGTGACTGGGGAGGGGTGTACGGAGTGTCTTAAATACTGGGAAAATGTGTTTTCTTAGCCCCAGGGGTTGGCACGTGCATGTGTGTTCATCATGCATTGTTTTATACACTCTTGCAGATGGGTGATTAAAGAAACGAAAAGCCAAAAGAACCTTTAAGGGGACTGATACTGAGGCTGCTCCTGGGTGCATTGGGCTTTCCCTGGGGCAGTGTGCGCTACACCTTTCTTAGGTGTTGTTATGGAGAGAAATGGCACTGGGCACTTGTTTAAAAACCAGCGAGGGGGATTTTATTCAAGGTGATTGCAGCAGGGGAAGGAGAGCGAGCTCAGTGTGGAATACAAGGACCACTGGGGTTTATGGCCCGCAGGTGGGATGAGAGAGAGGAGGGAGGAAGGAATACGATGAGGAGCTTGGTTAGGATCTAGGGGGTGGGGAGGAACTCGATTAGCCGTCAGAGGTGAGGCCTCAAAGGAGCCCCACTCCGGGTTGGCTGAGGGAGTCCTTGCCAGTGTGTACCCCCTTTTCTGCTGAACTTTGTCAGTGTTCCCCTTATATGAAGTTTTTAATCATACATTCTGTATGGCAGTGGTTTTTAACCCGAGGCAGTTTTGCCTCTTGGAGACATTTTGGTTGTTACAGTTCATGGACAATAGTGAATAGAGGCCAGGGATTCTGCTAAATCTCCTGTAGTCTACAGACTTGTCTGGCCCGAAATAGAAGTAGCTTCTCACCATGATGTAAAGGAAATATTCTAGTAAAATTGATGTATATTATAACACATACACAAAAATAGGAATTAAGAAAGCAAAGGTAAAAGCTAAACAAAATTATTTTCTAATCTTCTTAATTGGGTTGTTTTCTTATTGTTGAGTTTTGGGAGTTTTTTGTATATTCGGGGTATAAGTCCTTTGTCAGATATATGCTTTGCAAACATATATATGCTTTTCTCCCAGATCATAGCTTAGCTTTTCATTCTCTTAATAACTTCTTTTAAACATCCAATGTTTTCATTTTGATGAAGTCTTAATTTGTTGGTTGGTTCTTTTATGGATTCTGCTTTTGGAACCATATCTAAGAAATTATTGCTTGATCTACAGTCACAGAGATTTTCTTCTATGTTTTCTTCTAGAAGTTCTGTAGTTTTAAGTTTTGCATTTAGGTTTTTGATCCATTGTGAGTTAGGTTTTGTAAATGGCATGCTATACATATATATATATACATATATATATGTATGTGTGTGTGTGTGTATATGTATATATATATATACATATATATGTATGTATGTATATATATATATATATATATATATATATATATATATA